GAAATTTTTGTAACAAAAACTTGGTGTCATAGTGCACGTGTGTGTACAGGTGGGGCCATGCAGGTAGGATAGGTTCCCTGGGATGGTAGTGTCGTGCCAAAACGAGGATGATCCCAGGCTAACTCTGACACCTCGGGTCACCTCGCCCTTAGACAGAACCTGAGTCCTCAGGGAAAGGAGAACATCTGTCTGTTGGTGTCTCCCATAGGCAGAGATAACCAGTAGCCAGAAGGCCTGGGACCCTGAGGCCAAACAGCCCCCTGGGCACAGAGCAAGGGGAGAAGTGAAGAGCAGACCTGCAGGGACCCAGGGTGAACACCTAGAAAGAGGGGACATTTAGGCCAAGAGCTCCAAAAAAAATCACTAAGGAAGACTGGGCTGGGCACAGGCTCCTCAGAAGAAAGCAAATTCCCTTAACCCTTTCCTATCCTGGTCAGCATGGAAGTCCAAGTGAGCAACACAGATAATTCTCTGTTCCCCTTCCCTGTAGCACAGTGCCATGGGAAGACTTGAGTTCCTACATTTGGAGTTCCTTGTCCAGAAAGAAGACCCCCTGGACAGAGCTCTCTTGACCCCCATGGAATTGCCCGCAGAAAGGCCCAGGAGCATGTATCCATCTTTCTGAAGAAAAGGCATCTGAGGTTGAGGCCTCACAGAGGGGCCCCTGGAATCTGCTTCCCAATGACCCTACTAGTTTTCTGATAAGCTTTTCTGGACCATAGTCGGGAAATGCTTGCAGGATAAATGAGCAACTTTGCTTTATTTCACCTAGTGGTCAGTGAGTGTGAGTCCTTTCCCTACTCTGACAGGGACCCCATTATGTACCTTTTGTCCCTGAGGAGATACTAGCCTGAAATAATATGTTGCTTGGAGTGGGGTGAGCTTCAGCAGTAAAGGCAGGCATTGGTATCACCAGTCCTGAGTCTCCAAAGGGGTGGGAGAGAAGGAGATGTACACCAAAGATGCTGAGGGGCTGGGATGAAACCACCTGGTAGCCAAAACCTGAACTGCACAACACTCTTGACCCAGCCAAGCCTGAGGCTTTCTCCCCCCCCCCCAAGACCCCCTCTCTGTAGAAAGATTCCTGCCTCTTTTCCCATCCAGCTATCCATTTCTTGCTGTTCTTGGACCCTGGCTCTAGGTCAATTTCTCAGACCCTCTTGTTAAGGAAAAGTCCAAAAGTTTTTATTTTAAATATCTAATTAGTTTTATTAAATGATTGATGAAATCAGGCAGCATCATACCTATCAAGTATAAAGGTATCTAAAAAAACTGTACAGGACTCTCCCTGGTGGCGCAGAGGGTTAAAGCGCAGCACTAAGAAGCTACAGCCACTTCAGCATGAGTTAAATCCCTGCCCCGGAGGTGACCCACATGGTAAGGCAGACCTCTCCTGACCTGCCCGCTGCTCCCCTCAGCAGTGTACTTCGTCAATCTGCCTGTTCTGCTTCCCACTTTGTCTCTGGTGAATCCTCTCACTGTCCCTGCACCCCTGGCCTGTACCCTAGTTCTGTATGAACACATAAATAAATAAATCTTTTAAAAAAAAAAAAACTGTACAAAATGAAAGCGCTTTACAGACAGAACAAGGGCAAGATAAAGGAAGAGGGGATTATTTAAGGCTTAGCTAACTTACCTGTGAGGAATAAATAGGGGTTTGTGGCAGATTGTCTCATTTTCCTTTGGAGACTGGAAAAGGTGACCTCATTGGCGCTAACCAGGTCAATGAGCAAATTTCCCAACTGCATAAAAGTTGGCTTGAGGTTTGAAAAAGCTATACAGGTGAAGAAGCCATGTTTGTGGCTGCCATGTGTACCACCAGTATCATTCCTACTCTATCAGCCAGAGTGGTCAAGTTCACTCTTGATATGTGGGGCCAGAGGTGTTACAGGTCATGGAGAGGGGCACCCTAGGACCCCTAAATCTGTTCATTCTAGATAGTTTCTGTCATCTAGCACATTAAGACAAAACCTATCCTAAAATGCACAATACCTTTAATGGAAAAGAACTTTAATACAATTAACAAAAAACATGGTTTCCACATCAAGCACCCAAAGTTACCCTTTCCTTGTGGGTATATGTCCAGCCAAACTAGGTTGGCCCAAAGCAAGGCCCCAAAGCCCACCACCAGTCTAAAGCAACTTTTGGCAGGGACCCATAAGAAAGGTCAAAACCAGACAAATCTGGAAGGAAAAGAACAAAATCAAAATCAAGATCAATGCTGCCATTGTCAGCCTCCCCACGGGTCTCTCACCCACATCTGCATCACCCAGTCCAGGGCCAAGAAGCAAGAGCCTCTTCATCAGATGTCTCTACCCCATGTGCCTCCCTCAGGTTCCCTTCTGGCTCTCCATGCTGCTTCCTTCTTTTCCATTCCTGTCTCCAGCTTCTTCTCCTCTCTGCTTAGCCACATCCTTCCTTGGGTGGGGCAGGGGCCACCCTGTTACAGAGTCAGCCATGGTGGTCGGCTTTGTTGCTAGAAGCCCAGGACCCACTGGGAGCAAACTCAGGACACTGCCCCATCAGGTACTGTGGGCCTCTGGTTCTCCTCAGGGTAACCCTCTTGGAAGCACAGCTACGAGACCAAGCTGGTTCAGTTCTTACTTTTCTAACAGGGACAAACCTGGGCCTTCTCATCTAGACCAGCACTTGCTTTCTGACTGGCTTTGGTCAAAGTGATCAATCTCACCAACCCACAGGGGTTACTTGGGCTTCATAACAGGTCTCTGACAAGACAGGACGTAGGAGAGTGTTCAACCAGCATAGTCATATGGCCTGTATCCAGCAGCTGCCAAACGTGGACCTCAATTCCAACAGGTTGAAAGAGTCAGGACCCTATCTGGTTACAAGTTACAGGTGTCACTTGAGAGTGCCTAAAGCATGATGGGAACTTATTGAGCCCTCATATTAAGAAGTAAAGGAACAGATCCTGGCTTTAGAGCCAAGTGAGTCCAGGGGCTTCAAAAATATGTACCTTTTTCCATCCTAGGGATCCACTTTGCTCTAGATTGCTTCATTCCCAGATGGCTGCACCCCAAAGATAACAAAATCACCAGTGTTACCAGTCTACCCTTCAGTCAACTGCACCACTGGGTACAGGAACAGCTCATGTTCTGCTGTTTTGTCTCATGTTCGGGACAAGGTCTAGCCTGCACCACATTGCTGATCGCTGAACCAATGCCAAGGGCAGAGGGATCTAAAAGCTATATGATTTGGCTCAGGTCACTATCTCTCCAAAGGTCTCTCAGGGGCAGCAGCTGAAGATATCTCCACAAGGATCCCAGGATTTATGCCCCTGCCCAGCAGGAGGATGGGGACAGCTCTGGACACAGCTGGAATCTTAGGGTTCTGGAGTTCTGGTGATAACAGAGTGCCTGAAGATATCATTCTGGCCTCGCTTCATTTACAGAGGGTGAAGCTGGTCTGGGACAGAGCGGCCTGATGTTCAGACTCCAGCGTCTGTCTTCAGTCACAGGCCTTTGCTTGCACATGTCTGCTCCTCCTTTCCTTCTGGAGTCCATCGGTTTCCTCTGCAACCTGCCCTAGCTGTACACCCATCTTCCCTAGTCCCAGGCAGAACCTCCTCAGCCAGCACCCTCCCCATCAGCCAAAGCCACTCCCCTCCATGTATCTCACCTGGAATTGTCCAGCTTTCTTTGGGGTGCTAGGCAAGTCAGCTGGATTTGCCTCCCCCCACTTTGTAAGTACTAGGAGGGCAGAACTAGAGTATCCTAACTCAATAAATCTCTAGCACCAGGACAGGCCAAAAACAGCTGAAGGAAGGCAGGAAGGGACCCTGTTCCCTGAGAAGGTGAAACAAATAAAGTGAATCTTGAACCAGCTGTACTATTTTCTAGCAGGATGATTCAACCAAACCTTCTGTCCCTGGACCCCAGTTTCCTCAACAGTCTAGTGGGTACACACCTGACCACAGGGCCTGCAGAGCTGTGATGAAGCTAGACAGAGATGATGTCAGAGAAAATGCTCTAGACAACACACAAAATGCTACCTTTTGTTCTCTGATAGGAATGAAGAGGATCTGTTTAGAATTTCGGGTTGTTGGTGTGCTGTTTTTGTATTGTTGTTAAGTAAAATAGAAAACACCAGGTGGCTTCAAAGTATGCAAATGTCAGGCCAGTTCTTGTGACCTTCCTCAGGAGACCCAGGGCTTAGAGAACAGAGGGAGGGAGGGGGCAGCCAGGAACTGGACTAGGGAGGGAGACTCCCTGCCACAACCAGGTTCCGGGTCCAGCTGCCTGGGCAGAGAAGCCCCTGGCTTGCATGCTGCTGTGGACCAACTGCAGAGAGGACAGGCAGGCCAGAGATACCGAGGGAGGGGGCGGCTTCTTGGTTCCCCCCACTCCAACACTCCCCCCCTAAGTTCCAGGTCTGGAATAAATCCTGGGTTCCATTACTGCCTCTGTCCCTCGCTGTCTAGTTCTGGCACAAAGTCCATTTGCATTTCCAAGTAGCCTCACTTTTCTTATCAACCAGTGAGACCCTGAAGTTTTCTAATCAGGAGGAGCCGGATTTAAAAGGCCTACTGTGTGCCATTATGGTGCACTGAGAGGCATGCAGAGGGTCTCATAGCTGTTACTGCCCGACTTTGTGCCCTGGGCATTACACAGAGGGTCTTAATCCTCAAAACCTGGGAGTAGATTCCACTGGGAGTAGACTTCACAGACGCGGGAAACTAAACCCTAAGGTCAGATATCAGGCTATCTGCCGCCTCCTATCCCAATTCCAGGACCTGACGACCCACGCCCTCGCATTACACACTCGCCCGCCTGCTTCCCAGACAGTGGGGGCGCGGAGTGTGTGTGTGTGTGTGGAGGAGAGGGGGGTCGGGGGGGAGGGGGTAAGTGACCGCTGTTGTCACGACAACCGTGCACCAATAGGGAACAGGCAGGAGGGAGGAAGCTCGGAAGCTCCACCTCCGGCAAAAGGCTCTGGGCTATATAAGGGCCAGAGGACCAGGGCGGGAGCCAAAGTCCGCGGAGCGCGAGGCACGGAGTGAGTAACGAGACGCCGGAGTCGGTAGAGCCCCGAGCGGAGAAGGGTGCGAATATTAGCCAAAATGTGCGGTGAGTACGCGCCCCCGGGCCCCGCCCACTGCCTCTTTCTCTGTGGTGGTCGCGGTGCCGGCGCCTCAGCCTCTCAGCGCCTGGGCCCGAGACTGGCGCCCGGGACTCGGGAACACGGAGGCAGCTCGGGATGGGGACCTCGATCTACCCTGTGCTGGATCAAGGGAATTCACGACCCGACCCCAGTCCGGGAGTAGTTGTCTCAGGAAGGTGTGGGGGAGGGGGATGCCCAGCCCCTCTCTCAGGCGTCCGGAGGGTGACCCACCCCTCCACAGAGGGTAGGGAATCTGTCTTGACCTGGGCCTGGACGCTTGCGACACAGAGGTGTCATCGCCTGATGTCCAGCGAGAAAGGCGTCGCTAAGTCGCCCACAAAGGGTCATGCGCAAGCTCGTGCATCCTCTGCGCGGGGTGCCCAACCCGTCTTTCAGCCCATCGCGCCCATAGGAGAGGCGACCCCGCCTTCACCCTTCCCGCAGTCCCATGGGCCCGTCTCCCGTGGCATTGAAGCAGCCACTGGTGTGCTTGGGAAGGGCCTGCCGAAGAGCGGGGCGGGATTCCGGGCGCCCCAATACCGCGACGAACCAGCGCTGTCCTGCGCCATAGGGAGGGCAGCAGTGGCTAGGCGCGCACATCTGCTATTCCTTACTCTCCTGGCTGGGCCGCCTCCGCCGGCGGGGGAGAGAACTGGGAACTTCTGCTGGGACAAAAGGTCACTGTGCTTTTTTTTTTTTTTTTTTTCCTTGAGTAGGATTCAGTTACCCGTTCCAACCTCCTGTGACTGGAGGACCTGGTGGAACTTTTGAAGCCATGAAAGGCCTCTGTCTGACTTCTCTGAGGGCTGCAGGGTGGGGTGTGCCAGCTGCGCGCCCTGGGCCAAGGTCTGTACAGGCCTTGTTTCTGAGACCAGGAGCTCCTCCTGGAAAAATGAAAGAGCAATGACTGACCAAGGAGCCAGCAGTCAGCTATAGGGTTCAGGCTCTCCCAGGCTGAGCAGGCTCTGTAGATGCAACTCCTTAGCAAAAATCTCAGGATTCCCACACAGCCTTTGCAGTGGATAGGGCTGCCCATGTGCACTTTTGGGAGATAAATGAGGCAGGTTTCCATAAGATCTTTGGGTCGAGGCCCTTAGAACCAGATTAGTGTACCAAGATCCTAGCATTTAGGAAGGTCTGCCCCTCTCTAAAGCCCACCTGTCCACATGCCACCCCAACCTTCCATCCTCTTACTTACTTGCATCCAGTTTTCTCTGATGTCTTTCTGAGCTTGGGTGTGGGGAAGTTGGGGTTAGGCAGAGGGATGATTCTGTCCCCTCCATTTCTCAAAATCATGACTTTTGTCCTGTTTTCTTAAAGAGTTGTCCATGTTTTGTCTCCTACGGGAAGGATGAGTTAAAACTACCTGTGTCCTCAAATCTAGGGTCACCACTGGAATGCCCCACCTTCCAGTTCTCAGTTAAGTAAGGAGGTCAAGTGGAATTCCTGCCTGGGAAAGTTATTTCCTTTTCAAGGAGAAAGTCTTGACTGGGTACTAGTGTGTCTTAGACCTCTCCTGACACTTACAAAGCACCCTTACTATCCTAGGAAGCTGTCCTAGGCTCAGAGTTCACAGCGGCTGCTGACTAGAATTGAATACATTGGTGTATTTATTTTGGATTATGGTCTGCATGATATGGCATATGATACTGCTTTTCCTCTTATGGGGGTTATCTTTTGTAATGAATTTCAGTTTTCAAAAATGTAGCCAACTTCACAGAAATCTATTAAGGAAATTATTGTGACATTGCTGTGAGACTGTGACAAAAATCATGAAGATGCTACTGAATGCTTCTTTCAGTTTGCATTTGGAGAAGCTGAGGTCTGTGCATACCTGCTGAGCAGAAGTTGTTTTAGGCCCTTTCTCTGGGCTGGTGATAGCCCTGCTGAGGTCTGTCACTTCCAAGCGCAACTCTCTGGGTTGTTCCTGCAAGGGTCAGCAAGCATCATGCCTCAGCCTACCCTTATCATTTGCCCAACACCATGCTCACCTTGCTTCCTCTCTCCTTCACTGCTTCGCCTACAGAAGCCACTTCTGTATCTGTTTATCTGCACACACTATGCAGGTGACCCTCAGCAAGTTTTGGTGCACTTGGTTTGGCTGCAGTGGCATTTAGGTATTTGTGGATGGTTTGTTAACATCAAAGAGTTGCTGGCACTTCGCTAATTTTTGGCCAGTGGAAAGGCGACTGTATTCTTTTCCTCCCTTACTCTGCTCCTACTCTCCTTACATCTGCACTCAGCCTCCAGTGAATGCTGAGAGATCTTGTGTCCTCCAGGCCCTCGTTCCACTTCTTAGAGAAGGGCAGGTAGCGAAAGAAGCAATTCAGAGATAGATCGATGACAATGACCAGGGATGGCATAATCCAGGAGGTAGCTACTGTAGCACAAATGGCAGCCTGGGTTTAAACTTTAAGAAAAAAAAAAAAGTTGCTAAGTTACAAAATTGGGAGATTTCATAAGTAGGTGTAATTATCAGCTTCTCTTGAAATAATCTGAAGATAAGCACCCCTGAGTCCATATTCCTGAATAGAGCACAGTGGCTCCTGGGATGCCGTATGGAATCTGCCATGCTCTCTCAAACCCTGCTCAACTGCCCCACTGGTATTCATTCACCTCTTAGCCCCCGTGAGGTGTGAACCTGAGACTCCAGCACAGGGAGGAAGAGCACTGGCTTTCCCAGGAAAGAGGGGGAGACCTGGGTCAGTGCCACAAGACCTGGCCTTAAGGGCAAGTAGAGAGAAGAGGTGGCCACATGCGCTAGGCTGAGGCACAGCATACACAGGGGTGTGGCAGTATGCGCCTTGTACTCAGGGTGGAGGTGCATGCACTTACAACGCATAAATCCTTAAATTTCTCTCTTTCAACTACCAAATTTAGTAATCTGTGAGAAAAAAAAAAAGACTTGACAATGGAAAGCAGGGAAATCCTTTTATAAAAAGTTACTACTTTTTAACTTTGGTTTAAGGGGCACCAGCTCACACCTTTTCAGATGTATATTACCACATTACACTCACTATCAAAGCACCCATAATCCTCCACCACAGTCCACTGGTCCCCTCCCTCTCCCCCTTTCCTCCCATCCTCTGGTAGTCTCAGTTGTGCAGACAGATTTATAGGGTTTATTGTGGTTTAGTTTTGTTGGTTCCTTTGTTTCACTTATTTATATTCCACATGCAATGAAATCATCAGATGTTTGCATTTGTCTTTCTCCTTCTGACTTATTTCACTTAGCATTATCCTCTCTAAGAACTGGAGAATTCTTAATTTCACTGGAAGGCAATTTCTTTGCCTTGAATTTATCATCTTTGGTTCTACTTGGCATATTAGCTTTCTCCAATTGTGGTAGCAAATTACCACAAGCTTGCTAGTTTAAAAAAAAAAACACATAAATTTATTCTCTCAAAGTTCTGGAGACTGGAAGTCCAAAACTCAGTTTTACTGGGCCCAAGTCAATTTGTCTATAGGGCCCCACTTCCTCCAAAAACCCTACGGGAGAATGCGCCCTTGCTTCTCCCAGCTTCTGGTGGCTGCCAGCATTCCTTGGCTTATGGTTACATCACACCATTCTGCCTCTGTGGTCACAGTGCCTTCTCCTCTTCTATGTTTAACCTCCCTCTGCCTCCCTTTTATAACAATACCTGTGATTGCATGAAGGATCTACCCAGTTCTTCTAGGAAATCTCCCACCTCAATATCCTTAATCACATCTATACTGGCCTTTTTTCCATATAAAGTAACATACAGATTCTAAGGATGAGTACCTGATAGCGCAGGAAGTCATTATTCATCCTGCTTTTAGATGCCTTCCCCCAGTATCCCAGTACTTCCAAGTTATGGCACAAGGAACTTGATCAGAAGACTACCAGCACCTTCCACTACATGCTCCTTGTCACCGAACTCTCCACCACCATCAGAGGATACATACTTGCCTGGCATGTTGCCATATGCCCAGTTGGATCAAATAGACGTCATGGTTTCTCTAAAAGTCAATCCCCTGTGTAAAGATGGCACCAGCCACATCCTGCCCTCATGCATGCACGTACTCCTCCCTCTCATCTCTTCTTTCCAAGGAGCAGGTATGGAATCAGAGGGATCAGGACACACAAATACACACCCAATTTTTTTTTTTGCATAGCAGCCATTCAAGAAAACTTATCAAGTGGCCTCAGCTGAGGAAACTGCAATTCAGATGAGTAGACTCAGTGGAGATCTCACCCTTCTGCCCCAGGCAGCTTCTGACTCTCAGAAGCTGGTTACATGTGACCCTCTTTTCCTCCTTGTAACAGTTCAGTTCATGGACAGATACCTCAGGAGGGACTAGACTAGAGGTGATGGGGATGGACTCATCACCTGTCTTGCACCCTCTCCAAGCCACCAAAACCTCAAAAGACTCTTACTCAATGATGTGCACATAAATGCTTAACAACTGGCTCCCTGGTTTGCCAATTTCTGAAGTGCAAATACTCTCACAGTGGTTATTTTCAGTAGTTAGTGTGAAGTCCTTACCTTGGAGTTGGGCAGAGATGCATAGTTTGCTTTCCAGAGCCAGTTCTGGTTACTGAACTCTGGTAGGCCTCTCAGAGAGGGCTTTGTGGGGGGCGTGGGCAGCCTGGCTCAGTCATGCTGCCTCATGCCTCCTCCCCATCACTGTGCTCCTCCTCCATCAGCTTCTTATTCATCAGGAAATTCCCAAGAGAAACCTTCTGGAAATTTTGTGAGGTGGTATTAGTAAACATTGCTTTTAAATGGAAGATTATTTTTGGAAGAGAAAAATTTAGAAGATTATTTTTATGTTTAGCAAAATTAGCTTATTAATGGGACTAACTTGAAGTTATAAACACTTGGGGGAAAATCCTGAAGTTTAATTTGATACAAAGATAATTATGCAACTTAAGCTAGTCATCTGCCTCTTTTTAATTTTCCAAGGACATATTTCTCTCACTAAAAAATAGTTTATAGCCAAA